AGCACCAGTCAGATCTCCTTATTCATTGTTGTTTGAGACTTAGTGCTCGTAGAAGAGACAAAAAAATTACGGGTGTGGCTACCTTGTTGACAACTTGCTACATAATGTAACCCTACACCACAAGGTGTCTGCTACAGCACCAGTCGGGACGTAGTGCTGTTAGACAACGAAACAATTTTGAGGTACCTTGCTGACAACCATGGACAAGTCTCTTCTTGATGTCTTCAAGACAGGATTTTCTGTTGAAGCCAGCCACTCGAGTTCATCTTCTGTTAGACCTGCATTCAATATTTTATCCTTCATTAAACAACTCAAAAGAGAAAAAAGCTCTGCAATAGACCTGAGTTAGCTTACAGACCTGCCCTATGTGGCAGAGACTGTTATTCTCAGATAGCACTGTTCAGTCATGCATAGCCGAAGCTGTAGGGCTGATATCAAATAGGATATTACCATGGGCAAAATTGACTGAAGGAGGCCATGGCCAGTAATGTGGACTTGCCATAGATAAAATACATGTATGCAGTACATGTCAGGTGTAAGCTTTACCTATTCTAAGTTTGCCGTTGATGATAGCGATAGTCGCTGGTGTCGCTCTGTGTTCTCGCACAATCTGTACCACTCTCTGGGCCGTTCTGGGGAATAAAAAGTGCATCAAAGTCATCTATCATATGATATTTGGAATGAAAAAAAACAAACTTTTTCTTAAATGTGCACAGTTCAATCAACAGTGACAGAAAAGCCCACTTTATACACAGCAGAGCTTTTATGGCAACAGCAGGAAAGCTCACTAAAGAGAATTCCCGACAGCGGAACTCAAATTTTCTGCCAAAAACATGGGGTATGCCATGTATGATTGTAGAGTACCTTATCTGATATTGTGTGGATGGGGCATGCCATGTGTGATGACTGTGCCTTACCTGATGTTGTGTGGATGGGGCATGCCGTGTGTGATGTGCCTTACCTGATGTTGTGTGGATGGGGCATGCCATGTGTGATGTGCCTTACCTGATGTTGTGTGGATGGGGCATGCCATGTGTGATGTGCCTTACCTGATGTTGTGTGGATGGGGCATGCCATGTGTGATGTGCCTTACCTGATATTGTGTGGATGGGGCATGCCATGTGTGATGTGCCTTACCTGAT